TTATGTGCGAGCTTGTGTGTTCTGTCCGTGTGCAGCAATGTAGCAGCACATTAGTTTAGAGCGGAGATTAACAAACTGTACAACTTACAACATGCTTTAACCTCCCGCACTCGTCCATCGCCATTTTAACCTTCATATGTGATCCACATATCTGTCAAGCTAACTAATTATGTTTAATGCGTGAGTTGGCATAATTTGTGCTCGTGACGGAGCGGTAGCAGAGCATTCTCGGAGCGAGTGAAAACCTCAACGCTCCGACTTTCAAAAAATCTGCTCCTAGCTTCAGGCAAAATCACGCCGCTCCACTTCTCGCTCCGCTCCGCTCACATATTCTGGCCCACGCACACCACAAGGCCACTCCCAGCACCGGGAGCGCCAACGATAGGGGAACGACCTCTGTGGTCATTTCAGGACAGGCAGACAGTTCAGGGCAGACAGATAGTTCAGGGCAGGCAGACATTTCAGACTAAGGCGGAAGAAGAGGGGGCATGTCTGCATATATACAAATAATAGTCCACTGAGCTCGGCTCACCCTCATCCATGGTGCAGTGGGTGGAGCTTCCCTCCGCGCTCTCTCTGTCTATAGCGCTCTTCCCCGTGGCGAGCACTGTAGCCGTCTGACATCACAGGCTCTGGCTCCGGGGCAATCCTCAGCTCTGTCGCTCCATTAGGCGATGGCTTGTTGGTCGTGGCGGGCTCTGGCTCTCCATCAGTGGTGGGCTCAGGCTCTTGCTCTGCGCAGCGGGGTGATGGTGGGCTGAGCTCTGGGTCCGGAGCGGGGCTGGCGAGATCCTCATCGGCGGGGCCGATGGTGAGTGGCGAGTCATTGCTCGCCAGCACCCACTCCACAAAGAACCGCGCTCTGCACTCGTCATTCAGGCTGGTATTATAGAAAGTGCAGAGGCAGTATTCCAGGTAGTAGGTAAGGTTGGCGATTTCCACAAATAGTCTCGTATGGTCCTCGAGGAAAAGGCTCCTCTGCTTCAGCATGAGGAGGAGGAAGGCAGGGTCATTCATGATTAAACAAAAAGAAAAACAGACAAACGCGAGAAATAATTTAGCCGTGGAGCGGTGTTTCTGATCAATGGAGCGAGGAGTGGAGCGGGAGCGGGAAATGGTGAACTCGGAGCAGAGCTGGAGTGGAGTGATTATTGAATGCTTGGAGCGCGGAGGGGAAATTGTTGCTGCTCCACTCCGCTCACATACTCTGGTGTGGGCAGCACACACTGTTCCTAAGCCCCCTGACCATCCTGAACTCCCGCCCAGCCTCCCTCTCCCAACACCTCTGTACCAGTCTTCACCATCACCACCGCTGTCTTCTGGCAGCCCCTCTGCTCACCCTCAGCCCAGCATCTACAAGTCCACCAGCTCCGGTGGGCTCCCTCGTTCCTCCGGCTCCGCCTTGGTCTGTCGTCGACCATCCGCCGCCTCCAGTGCACGTCGCAAGTGCCACTCCTCCGGCTACACCTCGTCCCTACGGCTCTGCCAGGCTCCTTGTTCCCTCCGGCTCCACCTTGGTTCTCTGTCGCTCCGGCACCACCGCAGCTTTCCGGATCCCCGCCTCCGCCTCAGTCGCCTGAGCCATCTGCTCCACCTTGGCCCTCCGGATCCTCCTCATCGCCCTGGCTGGTCGGCTCTCCGCCTTGGCTCCTCCTGTCTCCGTCCTGGACTCTGTTCATCATCCTCCTCCTGGGCAGGTCTTCCACCTGAAGCTCCTCCAATCGCCTTTTTCAATCCCACATCCACTCCTTTGTCCTCCGTCTCCCTCCGTCCCTCCCTTTGTTCCTGCGGCATGAGGCCGCGCCTTCCGGGAGGGGGGCACCTCCTCATCGCCCTGGCTGGTCGGCTCTCCGCCTTGGCTCCTCCTGTCTCCGTCCTGGACTCTGTTCATCATCCTCCTCCTGGGCAGGTCTTCCACCTGAAGCTCCTCCAATCGCCTTTTTCAATCCCACATCCACTCCTTTGTCCTCCCTCTCCCTCCGTCCCTCCCTTTGTTCCTGCGGCATGAGGTCGCGCCTTCCGGGAGGGGGGCAAACTGTCACACCCATGAACTGTTTTGTTGTGTTTTCATTCCCCATGTGCTCAGTGTGACCTAGTTTCCCCATTCTGTTCACCTGTTTTCTATTAATTATCCTCGTTTACATTAGTATTTAAGCCCAGTCTGCTCAGTTCATGTCGTCTGGTCTTAATGTTATCTATGTGTTTGTGTGTATCCTGCCTACCTGATGTGGATTACCCTTATGTGGATGTATTAAAGACTGTTTACCGTTATCTTCTTCGTATTCGTGCATTTCTCCTACACCGCACCGTGACAATAATACCATCATTACTAAAATATATATTTTTTTTTACTGTATTACAGAAACAAATTACTGCATTTGCGATGATTTAAATCAACATACATTTATGGCAATACAGCAATATTACTATAATGTAATGTGTATATATTAGGGCTGTCAACGTTAACACGTTAACGCATGCAATTACACAGTAAACCAGGCTGATTACATCAGAGATTGCAGAGAGAACAGAGACTTCTGTTGCATTTTCAGTGAATTATTCATTCCAGTGTGTTTCACTCTTAAACACGAGCGCTGTCATATTCTGTGATTGTCTCTGAAGAGCGCGAGCGCTCACACGTCGCGCTGTGTGAAGTACAGACTGAATGGAATATGGCCAGATGAGACGCAAACTAGTCTCGCTAGTAAAGTTTTGATGGATGAAGACTGCAATCAAGGTAAAGATGATTGCGGTGGCGTACAGGAGTCGTACAGTAAGCACGCGTGAGTCCATTATTATAATGCGTGTATGAGTGCTTTTGACGCACAGATCGCACATTGTATTTATGCACAAGCACAGACATTTCCGTACATTCACGTTGTTTCCACACACATTCACGATAATGTTTTGATTTATCATGTGTATGTTGTTGTTTAGTTATTCTGAATGGATCCGTGTACTGTAGTAGATATATGCAGTCAGCCGTCGGTTGGTTTAGGGGTTTTTTGGCATCACCATGTGGTCCTGTTCAGTATCGCAACTTGACTTCTCTAAAATGTAAAAAAGCTATTTGCTGTTGCACTGTACACATACTATACAATTCAGATTTTTTTCCTTTCATATGTGCTTATATGGGCTCTTTATATTATTTGGTTCTTTGGTGTCCTTTTGGAGAGTCCTTTTGGAGTTCTTTTTTGGAAAGACATCTATATTTATCTTGAAAAAAGCTTGCAGAAAATACAGATTTTTGAGAATCACCCTTCAATCATTTGGTTTACTTTGCTGAACATAGCAAATGACGACAAAATAAATATTTGAAACAAGATAAATGGTCTATGCTTAATTTCATGAAGTGTGTGATTAATCGCAATTAATCACAGAAAAAGGGTGTGATTAATTAGATTAAAATTTTTTATCTATTGACAGCCCTAGTATATATATATATATATATGTGTGTGTGTGTGTGTGTGCTAGAATCCATGAAAATGATGTCAAATGCCAATGCAAAACTAATACTGTTCATTTTTTAATGGGAAATGTAATTTCTTATTCTTTTATTTTGATTTTGGAGCAAAATAATTATTGACAAATTTACAAATTCACAAGGTTAGTTTCGAGTACTTTTCCCTAGCAACAGGATTATTGTTATACATGAACAATAAAAATCTTTCCATTGTAAAACCTTACCTGTGCGGCCCTCAAGGATCTCTGCACGCTGGTATGATCCACTGTGAGTAGACAGCACAATCTTGTAGAGCCGACCAGGTGTGAGCTCGGAGAACAGGTGTTCCCTAACTGTACTGCTCAGATGCACAGCTGGTGACACCTGTGTGTCATTGAAGAGATTCTGAACCTCATAGTTATCGACATCTCCTGGAGCAGACGTCCAGTTCACCCTCAGAAAACTGGTTCCATACTCTGTTAGGGACAAATTACCCACAGCACCCGGGACTGAAATACACAAGGGTGAATATGATTTTTATTGTAGTCCACTGATTAGATTTTTACTCATATTAGAAAGTGAAAAAAAAATCATGAAATGGAAAATCAAAATGTCTTTGATATTTACACATATATGAGATTTTTTTCTTTAATTTTATTTAAATGTAAAACAAGAACATTTACAGAGAAATATACATAAAGAGGATTTATGCAATGTACTTATATTAGCATCAAAGCAAATAAAGAGAAAAAAAAGAGAAAAAATATCCAGCGGAGAACTTAATAATAATTTTAAAAAATTACAATGACTTTTCATTCATTCATTCATTCAGAGAACACCAGTTGGACCCAGTTAACTGCCTGATTGGTTCAGTGTTGGAGTTCCTTCAAGATTGCTTTTCTGCTGGGATATCCCCCTCCATTTTAAAGGTTTACATGACAGGCATCTTTAGGTGTTGATTCATTGGGGAGACACCTTCTAGTGTCTTATTTCCTACTAGAAAGTTGTGGCTAAGGCCTGCAATTCATTCAAGAGTTCTGGGGTTGGATTTGGCCATTGTTTTGGTGGGCTTGTTCAAGCCCTTCAAGCCTATTGAGTCAGCTTCAGATAAATTTCTGACTTTCAAGATGGCATTCTTCCTTGTAATCACTTCTCTAAAAAAGGGTAGGAGATTTGCAGGCCCTGTCTGTTACCTCTTCCTGCCTAGAGTTTGCTCCTGGGATGTTGAAAGCTCTTTTTCACCCTAGACAAGGTAATGTGTCTAAGGTGCCTACCAATGTAGCACGTTCTATTGTTTTATCTCCTCCCTTTCAGACAGGTGGATCAAGAGGAGCTTAATTTGCTTTGCCCCTTTAGGGCAATTGATTCTTACGTCCACCACTCTTCTTAGTGTTGTAATTTGGACCAGTTGTTGGTCTGCTTTAGTTCACCCAGATGGGGATTCTCAGTCTTTAAAGGGGTCATATGATGCGATTTCAATTTTTCCTTTCTCTGCAAGTACATTTTCATATTTAAAGGATTTGCCACTGATGATTCTAACGCTTTGATTCTAAAAAGTTTTGAGCAGTGTAGAGTAGAGCTTGTTGTTTTCATTTCTCCGATCACAAATGCAGACATGGTTTTATGTTTACGCGGCGCGATGCAACACAACGCGTAAAAAAACAGTATAAGTCATTATAATCCGTAATTATGTCCCCACTGGATGCAACAAATGCCTCTTTTAAAATGGGTTTTAATGTTTTTGTCTCGTCGCTTTGGACGGGACACTGCATCACAGTATGGTAAGGGGCGTAACATTTCCGTCTCGCTTTTTCAGACCGATGAGCTTTGTAAAAATTGACGCGTTTCAGAAAGGCGGGGCATAGAGGAGAAACAATAATATACAGTATGTGCAAAATAATGTGTTTTTGAACCGTAAACCGCATAAACACATTTCATTACACCAAATACACAAAATAATGTTCTTTTTAGCAACATCATATGACCCCTTTAAGCAAAGAAAAAGCTAGTGGATTTTAAAGGCTATCTCTGTGGCTTACGAGGCGTGTGGTCTTCTGTTGGCTCGTAAGAGCCCACTCTACGAGGAGTATGGCTGCCTCTAAGGTATTGTTATTAGGGGTTTCCCTTCACAATGTGTGATATGGCCTCTCTACACACCTTCTTTAGATTTTATAGCCTCAATATAGAGTCCATGCATAATCTCAAGCGCTTGCTGCTAAGGTTTTGTGCTCAATACGACTCTGGACGCTGTGTCACCTTGTCATACTTTCGGCATGCCTGAGATCGTACTTCAGCCAATCAGAAGCTAATTCTGTTTGATCTGGATATCCTTTATAGCTTCTGCATTATGCTGTCATCCATTATGGGATGACATTTCACCAATGACACTGACCAATGACAAGACTAATTCATCACTATAGCTAAGTGTATGCTGCACATTAAAGGTCTAAAGGTCTAAACGTCATGCCCCTCACCTCAGTGCATGTGCTCCGGCGTTGTATTGTAAACAATGGCATCGTCAATATTGTTTATAAACAATATTGTGTGAGACGCAGAGGATATTAGTGAAGAGGATCGCGCAGAACCTGTGCAAGCACACAGCTCTTAATGGTATGTTTTTTGTTTGTTGTTGTCTCATACTTTTAGATACGCTGTTATTTGTAAATGCTACTTCTTATGTTAGCTTTTAATATGCGGTTTTATCCTGATTAAAGCAGTAATACAGCACGGCAAGCGTCCATGTTTAACGCTTCTCGTTTTTGTGAAAAATATCTATGTGAAAAATATCTGTCTGTCTATACACATAAAGTGTATAATTGGAAGACAGTTCATTGTTGGAGCTGAGCTGATGAACTGAATGAGAGAGAGAGAAAGAAAGAGAGAGAGAGATGCAGAGCAGAGTGTGTGCAGAGCAGGGGGATCCGAGGAACAGGATTAAGAACCGCTGCTTTAGAACATTGATTTTGAATAGTGCTGTCAATCGATTAATCACATCCAAAATAAAAGTTTTTGTTTACATAATATAATATGTGTGTGTACTGTGTATATTTATTATGTATATATGAAGACACACACATACAGCATGTTTTGAAAATATTTACATGTATTTACATGTATATATTTATATTCATGTAATTTATATTATATTTTTCTCAAATATATACATGCATGTGTATGTATTTGTATATACACAATAAATATACACAGTACACACACGTATACTATGTAAATCAAAACTTTTATTTTGGATGCAATGAACGGCGATCCGACAAGTTTGAAAATCGTGCAGTGTGAACTCGGCATAAAGCAGTGCAGCATGGCCCTGCCCCCTTTGTTGCATGTTACCGGGGGCGGGGTTTATCAGGGAATAAGTAGTAGCTCGTTGTAGTCCCTACGAGCCATTTTTGTAGGTGTTAAACTGCCATAATTTTAAAAGACGATATCTCCATTTGCATTGAACTTTCAGCATCGTAACTTTGCAGATATTGTTTACGCTCAAACCGCAACACCTACACACTAACGTTAAAAAAGTGAAATCGCAATCAACCACCCCTTTAATATTTATTTTTAATGAGAGATTGTGACAATATCAGTGCATGCCCCTTGATAATGGGAAAAACAGATGCTAAAGCATGATGTCACTCACATGTTCGGCCATGTATAGAGACAGTAGAGTTGTACTGGCCACTGCAGGTGCTGATGGTCACAGTGTAGAGACGTCCTGGAACCAGATCACTGAACTCAAATTCACTTTGTGTCTTATTGAGCTTCTGACTTTGAAGACGTGTGCTGTTATACCCGATCGCCACTTCGTAATAGTCATAATCCCCAGATGCATGATTCCAGTAAACCTTTAGAAAGTCATCTCTGGCTGAGTGGATGGCGGTGGGGTTTTGGACTGTGGACGGCTCTAAAAGAGAAAATATTGCACTTTTATTATTCTCAAAATTGTCGTGAATATAATGAAACATTAAAAACAACACATTACACTTTAATCAAGGAGAAAAAAAGAATGATAAATAAGCTTAATGGAAGCCTCCCAAAAACATTAAACTAAAATAAAATACTTGATAAGTCAATTAATGCCCCTTTAGTTAATAGTAGCCTATTTCAAAGGTAATATTGAAATGTGGAAGAAAATACATATTAGTTGGATTATAAAAGTATATTTGTAATGTACAACAAGAACAAAATCATTTTATTGATTCATTTCATAACTGTAATGAAGATTTAATGGAAAACATAGTGATGGGAAAAAATGTCAGAAATGTCAGTTTTTCTTTTGATTTTGCTGTGAAATTTCTGAAATTTAAGAACTATATGAATGATGGTGCTATTATTGCTTACGTGTTCTCTCCTGTACAAGTGTTTGGTTTCTGTAACTGCCGCTGTGTGTGGTAATGGAGATGGTGTACAGTCGGCCAGAAACTAGACTCCTGAACACACACTCGGTGGTTGCTTTAGACGCAGCGAGAGTGTGTACGATCTTCTCCTGGTCCTTTAGCATCACCATGTAACTGTCCACATCTCCTTCTGCTGCCTTCCACGACACATTCAGAAAATCTGGACCGCTGTTAGTTACAGTAATGTCAGAAACCGCAGCGGGCACTAAAAACCAAAGAGAGAAGGTTACAGTATGTCAAGAATAATAATAATCATCATTAAGTTAGTCAAATAAAGGTCTCGATACTGTTTGAAAAGCTTAAACTTCTCAGAATTTCTTTTCTTTTTTCAAACAGAAAGATTGTTTTGTTTCTGCATCCCATAGTCACACATAGAGTGTTACACTTTTAAAGAAATCAGCTTACAGTTGGCTACTTATAGCTGACTCTGTGTATTAAATTGAAATATAAGAAAATATTGTAACACTAAAAATTATGCATTACATGTTTAATCAGTTAGAAGGCTTTGGCTGAATGTGTCTATATATGGTGTCTAGCTGCTGTACAGTGTGTAACTATCCTCCATTGTTTGGGCAACTCAGAAAATCTGGACCGCTGTTAGTTACAGTAATGTCAGAAACCGCAGCGGGCACTAAAAACCAAAGAGAGAAGGTTACAGTATGTCAAGAATAATAATAATCATCATTAAGTTAGTCAAATAAAGGTCTCGATACTGTTTGAAAAGCTTAAACTTCTCAGAATTTCTTTTCTTTTTTCAAACAGAAAGATTGTTTTGTTTCTGCATCCCATAGTCACACATAGAGTGTTACACTTTTAAAGAAATCAACTTACAGTTGGCTACTTATAGCTGACTCTGTGTATTAAATTGAAATATGAGAAAATATTGTAACACTAAAAATGATGCATTACATGTTTAATCAATTAGAAGGCTTTGGCTGAATGTGTCTATATATGGTGTCTAGCTGCTGTACAGTGTGTAACTATCCTCCATTGTTTGGGCAACTTCACAAGAGTTCATTAAACGCTAGCTGAAAATAGAAAGAGCATTTCAGCCCGACAGGATGTGTTTAATATGACCCGCTCCTTTTATGCAGAGCTTCCTGAAATTCCATAAATCCCCTATGTATTGACCTGCAAATTGTTTTGCATTTCTGTTGTGAATTTAATCTGTGGGAAAATAATTACGGGGAAATATAAGATCTATATTATTAGTTCATTAATAGAATATTTTACATAATCTGAAATTATATATATATATATATACACACATATACATGTTTTTGTCATGTGGGTTAATACATTTAAGTCTTCAAAGTTTAGGATTATAATATAACATGGAAATAATTATTTATGATAACATGCAACAAATTATATATTATATTTTTATGAATGTATTGGAATCTCTATATAATACATAGGCTTAAAAGAACATGTCAATAGCTAGGAAGACATGAAGTCCTGCATAGCAAGAGAGTAAGAGAGCATGATAACAATGGAAAGTGCATACCATGATTTTGTTAAACACTTATTTCATCTGGGTTAATGTTACCTGTACGACATTCGGCCTCAGCTAGTTTGGAAGTCTGTGATCCGCTGACAGTGGTAACTAGTAATCTGTGTAAAGCACCAGGTCTGAGGAAGGGAAGCAGGGTGGAGGTTGTGTTTGCTGAAACAGAAACGTTGTGCACTGTCTGTCCGATCCATAACAGAGCTAAATTGTAGAAATCCAGATCTCCAGATGGTTTCTCCCAGCTTGCATTCAGACTAGCTGATTTTCCCTTGTTACTTAGTTTCAGGTGATTCACCTTTAAAGGCACTGAGAACACATCATTTGATTACAATCAGATTCTTTAAATATGTAATTTCCTATAATAATTAAACACACTTCTATTTGTTAATATTAGTTAATGCATTTAAATTATAATTTTTTATTTGAAGTTCAGATTACAAATGTTGCTGTTAATTGATGTTTGTTCATAATGTAATAACTTGTATGAATGTAAAAGTGTAAAAAAAAAGCGTTTGGTTTCGTTCTGTATCGCGTATCTTGTCAGTGTCTGCGCTTGCTTGGCCATTTGTTGTGGAGAAAATAAGGAAAGTGTGTTCAAGCGTCAGCAGAAAACAGTGTAAAGAAATACTCTTTGAGAGAAGCAGTCTTTATCAGCAGAAGTTAAAAGCAGCTCGTAAGTGTATTTACTTGTCTCATTAGGCAAGGCAAATTTTTTGTTTTTCATTTAAATGTTAAGTTTTGAAATTTTGTTGTATGCATTTGTCATTTTTATTTAATCTCTTTATTTTAAAATGTGTATAGGTAGTATTTATAACGTTTTAGCTTTTAGTTTTGGATCTGTTTTTAGTTATTTTAATACTACAATTGATTGTTTCTATTGTCCTCATTTGTAAGTCGCTTTGGATAAAAGCGTCTGATAAATGACTAAATAAATAAATAAATAAAAATAGAATGTAGAAATTAACATGAACCAACATCACATAATTCTGAAAAGTGTTGTTCATTGTTGTTTTTCAATTAGTTAGTTCACTAATAGTTCACATGGATTAACTAATGTTTACATATATTACCCTATTGTAAAGAGTTACTGAAAATACATTTATAACATTTCGACATTTCAATTAAAAAATAAAAAATAAATAAAATTTTCTGTTACCATATGGTTCGTTTTATACAACCTAAAATCATTCAGTACCCACATCTTAGAATTTAGTGTGAATGAAAATTAGGTAGTGCTGGCCAGAAGTACTTTTTTTTTTCTTGTAACGTTTTACAATAAGGTTCCATTTGTTAACATTATTTAACTACATTAGTTTATATGAACTAACAATAAAAATACTGCATGTATTATTATTAGTTAATCTCAGCAATTATTAATACATTATTAAAATCAAAAGTTGTATCTGTTAATATTATTTAATGGGCCTAAGCTAACAAACAAACTAGAATATTCATCAGTTTTGAAATTAGACATAACCTAGACTTTTCTTACATGTTCTTCCCTTTACTGTAGCAGAACCACGCAGGTTCTTTGTGGTAGTGGTTACAGTAATGTCGTACAGGCGACCAGGCGTGAGGACATTAAACGTGCACTCTCTCATGTCACGACTCAGGGTTCGTGTATGAATAGCTGTAGATGTGTTGCTTTGAAAAAGCTGTACAATGTAGCCATCGCGGGATGATGAGCCAAAGGGGTGAGTCCACAGAGCGCTTAGGGAGGTCTCGTCTGAGTGACGGATGTGCAATTGAGATACTGGCGGAAGACCTGAAAAGAAATAGACCAATACCAAAAGAAATATGTTACAAAACCCCAACTACAGTTTGAAATAATGTTGTGTTAGGAATAAAATACAACAGTATTATTTTCAAAAAATGAGGGTACAGGGCATTTTGGGGGGATTTACAGTAAAAATAGAAATGTGAAGGTTATGTTATAAACCACTTAATTTGTATGTTATCTTGGAGACAAAATTGTAAAATTGAATATAACTTTACCCAGAAAAGGTTAGCGCTTGTTGTTTTCACAGAAAAATCATGTTAACATGCATACTGTTTTTGTCTTGTGGCTACACTTAAATTCTGCTGACTTTACTAGTAAGGAACCTAGAATATTAAATAACTAATAATTTTATGTGTTGAAGTCACACGACAAAAAAGCATAGCACTGAATTTATTATGTCTGTATAGGTCTTTTATTACGTTTTTAGTTTGATTTAATTTGAGTTATTTTAATACTTAAACAAACTAATTGGAAATGAAACAATATATATATATTGAATTTATAAATGAGTATGTATATATATATATATATATATATATGTATTTGTGTGTGGTTGTTTTTTTGGTGTTTGGCTTAGTGTTACTAATAGTTCACATGGATTAACTAATGTTTACATATATTACCCTATTGTAAAGAGTTACTGAAAATACATTTATAACATTTCGACATTTCAATTAAAAAATAAAAAATAAATAAAATTTTCTGTTACCATATGGTTCGTTTTATACAACCTAAAATCATTCAGTACCCACATCTTAGAATTTAGTGTGAATGAAAATTAGGTAGTGCTGGCCAGAAGTACTTTTTTTTTTCTTGTAACGTTTTACAATAAGGTTCCATTTGTTAACATTATTTAACTAGGTTCCCAAACCCATTCTTGGAGTACCAATAACACTCCTTAATTAAACACACCTGATTCAACTCATCAGCTAATTAGTAGAGACTCCAACACTTGAAATGGGTGTCAGACAAAGCTTAAACTGGAGAACAGATTACAAGAATGCAGTGTCTGTTGTCTTTTTCATATTTGAAATGTGGAAAAGAAAAAGAAAATAATCAGGACAAACAGAATACAGCAGACTGAAAAGAGCTCTTGCCACAAATATTCTTGTGATACCCAGTGTCAAATTCAAATTTGTTGCATTATTTTACGGATTAGAAAAAAGTGGTCCTGAAATTCATGCACAAGCACTTTTAAATGCTTGTTCACAAGTATAGCCATTTTAAAATGAATTATAATGAATAGAGAACTATTTCAAAAACAGGTAAAATGTGTCTTCAGTGAATTTGAGATTATTTATAGTTATTTAGAGCAGCAATTCACAACTACTTTCCTGGGGAACCACTGCTCTGCACATCTGCTTATCTGACACTCTTAGGCCCCGTCCACACGGAGACGCGTTTAGCTGTATATGCATAAATTTAGTATTGTATAGGCGTTTCGTCCACACAGATCCGGCGTTTTGGGAGAGTGAAACCGATATTTTTTTAAACCGGGTCCCAGAGTGGATAAATCTGAAAACGCCGCCCTTGCGTTTTCGTGTGGACAGCGAATCCGTATATTTTCTGAAACAATGACGTCATCAGCCCACGTCTCGTCCCTAGTCAGACACCGCTACACGTAACAGCAACAAAAACATGAACAAACACCGAACGATTGTCTTTTTATTAACTAACATTAACACAGATTAATAAATGTATTGTTCCATGTTCGTTTGTATACCGTGCGCAAGGTTTATGCACATAGTCCAAGTCTTCTTCTACGTTTTTAGTGTATCTCTGTGGCAGAATTACAGCGCCACATACTGGTCTGGCATGTATACAACATTGGTTTCGTGTGGACGCAGATATTTCTTGAGACGAGAGGGAAAAAAAGATCGGATAGGGAAAGCTCTGGCTTCGTGTGGACATTTTATCTTACCCTCTTGGTGCAGAATTTCAGCAATGGATTTAAATATAATCAAATCAATAGGACACTCTTATTGGTAGCTTAAAGAATTACTATTTTAACCAAAGTATTAATTAAACACTCAAGTGGTTGGTATAACTTTGTAAATGACAGACGTTTCCATTCTAGCTGTCTGCAATAAGGCCTGTATTTCTGATGCAGCTTTTGTGGTTTAGGAGCATTAAAGTTGTTTTATGGAACAAGAACAGCATGAGCCACAATGTCATTGTTGGCTATGCAAGATGTTGAGGTCAGATGCATTTAAATGTAGTCATCTTGGTTTCAGCCCTTTAAAACTCAATTCCTTGTTCCACACTACATCATTTTTTACCTCTCGAGCTGAATTCATCACCTTAGTTGACTTTGCAGAAATGAAGCAGAACGTTGAGGGAAGATCCGTATATTTTCTGAAACGATGACGTCATCAGCCCACGTCTCGCCCCTAGTCAGACACCGCTACGTCACATAATAGCAACAAAAACATGAACAAACACTGCACGATTGTCTTTTTATTAACTAACATTAACACAGATTACTTAATGTATTGTTCCATGTTCGTTTGTATACTGCGCCGCAAGGTTTATGCGCATAGTCCAAGTCTTCTCTGTTTTTAGTGTATCTCTGTGGCAGAATTACAGCGCCACATACTGGTCTGGCATGTATACTACATCGTTTTGTGTCCGTTTTGTGGTTTCGTGTGGACGCAGATATTTCTTGAGACGAGGGGAAAAAATCGGATCGGATAGGGAAAGCTCTGGCTTCGTGTGGACGTAGCCTTAGTTCAGTCCATGGAGCTCTCTTAAGAAGCCAATGATCTGAATCAGCTGCGTTAAATAAGGAAGACATACAAAATGTGAGGGCACCCCAAGTCTGGAGTTGAGAACGACCAATTTAGAGTATCAACACATGGTTACCTATTTCCTCCTCGTAATAGACTGTATTAGCCAGGCCTCCATTCTCTACACTGATTGCCATGCTGTACACTCTGCCAGGCTGCAGATTTAACCATGACAAGAGTATTTCCTTTGCCATTCTGTCCACAGTTTGGTTAGCAAGGATTTCACTTCCATTTGAAAGCACCACACGGATGTGCTCCCATTCCCCGGAAGGGGGCGTCCAAGTGATCTTTAGTGCGCCACGATTAGACAGGTTCTCCATCACCAGATCTGACACCTTTCCTGGTTCTAATAGGGAAAACACAATGTTAAACACAAATAGTAAAAACTATCAATTAAAAGTATTAAGTAAAAACTATTTAATTACATTGAAATAATTCAATTTAACAGCAGCATTCTAGAAATCGATTCTTATTAAAACTACTAAAGTTATTCAGTCAAAAGCACTAAATTATTTTCCCTTTTTTATTCATATTAAATATTCATATTCATATTTGATGTAACAGAGGAAAAGTGCTCACACAACTGAAAATAGGTGGCAGAAAAAGAGTGCAGCAGCTTTTGTTTTTGTTCTGATAACACAAGGCCACAACAAATAAGGCAGTATTCATTTTTTGTTCTTCAAACTAAACTTATGACTTCAGGCCAACCAAATTTAAATTCTGACTAGTGCAGTTCCAAACAACACATTTCACAGTGATTACGTATTAGAATGCATTTGATTACATGAGCATCAACATTAAGAAAGCAATCTGACCAAATACGTTCACAAAATGTACTCAAATTAATGAATCAATAAGTCGCTATTGAAAAAAAAAAGTGTCTTAGAGCACTTACAGCATACAAGTGCACTCATAATAAGTTCTTTTATTATTTGTTAATACAAATTATTAAAATTATTTGTACTTACCAGTTTTGACTGTGATCCATGTCTTATTAGAAAGTGTTCCACTCCTGGTGCTGACTGACACCTGGTAGGTCTTTCCAGGACTCAGACTGTCAAACACTACATCTGTACTATTAGGGGACATGGCTTTCTCAAAAGAGTTTGAACCATGTAATGTCAGATTAACAAGGTAACTGTCCACATCACCAGAGGCTTTATCCCACAGAACTCTGAGGGTTTTCTGGTTGCCATTGTTCTCCACTCTGAGGTTAGAGACAGCAGCTGGTACTGTAAAGGGAGAGGGAGAGGTCAGTTACATTTCTTGCTTAAAGATGTTATAAAAGTCTGAGAGAGAGAGAGAGAGAGAGATGTTTTATCTTCATAATGTTTCATCAAAATGTAATATAACTTTCTCCACTATGGTATATACCGTATTGGCCCGAATATAAGACGACCCTGATTATAAGACGACCCCCTTTTTTCCAGATGTACCTTTTGGAAAAAGGCTTTTTAAAAACCAAATCTTGTTTTTTCTCAGTAAAACACATTTTGTCTTCAATTATTTTCATATTGCATATTTTTCCTATTTTAATTTTTGTTTACGTATTTCATGGCACACTCGTTTTATGCGTATTTGGCGCCACCTATTGTTGTGGGTGTATTATTGACATGTCAAAGTCTAGACCCTGAATATAAGACGACCGTGTTTTTTCAGATGTATTTCCAAGAAAAAAACATCGTCTTATATTCGGGTCAATACGGTAATACCCCATTTTTTTTCCAGACAATTGCTGGATAAAATCAAGCCTGCCTTTTTAATATCCTATTCAGCTTGGGAAAACACCACATTACAGAAATAAAATGGAATGTGACACTGTTTCATGTTGACTTTAAAGTACTCACTAAGGTGACTAAGGTCATTTTTTAAAATATATATAATTCAGTTAAATTCATGTTTACTTGTATAGCATTTTTCCACAATACAAAGAGACATAAACGGTATTGTTTTCAAAAGTGTGCACTTTGAAACCTGTTTTTGAAAGATTGCATTTTCTGGCCGCCAAAACACCATTGATGTGTAAATAAATGTCCAAAATGTTTTCAATTTTTAGTTGAAAACGGTGTTGAGTATATGCGCCCTGAGATGTGTTGTGTGGTGTGCGATTTTACTTTTGTGTAGGAGTGTGTAAAATATTCCTTTTGTTAACTAATACTTCTTGTGTGAAGTTACATGTTATTCATGGTATCAGTCGCTGGTTGTGTTGACTGAGCATTTGAGCGACATTAACAGGCGTTTATTTGGTTTTATTCAACTCAAAAATATGTTGAATGACTGAACCTGACCACATTAGATCTGTAGCACTGTATACAAACAGCGGCTTCAGAGTGATTTGATAAGCCAAATAAACTGAATGTAATCAAGTTGAGTATGTTTGAGAATTTGCCGTCAAGATCTCAAAGAGGGATAATGAACATAGCCAATCAAACAAAACGGCACAAAAATTCAATGAATGTAGGAATTTATAATCAGCGCAATGTTTTATGATTGAGGCAGCATGACGTAACTTGACATAACACAAGGAGACAAAGGTGACTTTTCAGCGCTCAAAACAGGAAAGGGTGTTAACATGTCTGCCTAAAATATAGCAGAGGAAATCATACAGGCACAGATATATGATCACAGCCACAAACAGACACACACATTTATAAAAGAGTGTTGAATGAAGTGACATTTTAGTGTCTGTATTGTCAAATCTGTTCATTTATTTCAATTATTACTTGACGAGCCGAATACCTGTTTGTGCTTGTCTAGACACTGAATTCTGTAGCTCTCCAACCTCTGTAATTACAGTGATATTGTAGAGTCGTCCAGGAATCAGCCCTTTTATTGTGTATGAGGTGGCTGTGCTAACAACTGTTGCATTCCAGATCGAACCCATACCACTGCTGTCTGTAAGCATGATCCAGTATCGCTCTGATTTGCCTGGACCAGGCTGCCATGAAACTTCCAAGCTGTTTGTATCTCCAGCAACCCAAAGATTTTCCACGGCTGAAGGTCCTAACCAAAAGACATTTAGAAATCCTATCAACAGTGTGAAAAATTTAAAAATAATAATAATAATACAGATCATTTATAATAATAGTAAAAAAAAAGTTAAAATAAGTGAAATAAAGACCGTCAGTCAACAATTTGAAATAAAATTAACTGATGCATTAAATGTTAAAATCTACATAAAAATACATTAAAGTGAATCTGTATGTAGCAGGCATTGTATATATATATATATATATATATATATATATACTAACTTGAATAAAAACGTGTTTTAGATGTGTATATAAGACACATTTAAATATACTGCAATTAAGTAATATCTTGCAAATCATGCAGATGATAAACAGTGATCCCTTTGGTTTTGTTGCTTCTGACAGACAGTATCAAAACAATCCTCATGGTAAAGTGGTCAGAAACAAAAAGGTGTGGACACAATGTGTCCTGCTGTGAATTATTCTTAGAGAAGGGAGCAGCATGTCTAGCAACCTATGTGCAAACATGATAACGCTGATCTTTGCTTTTTTAAGAAAGCTCTTCCTAATGAGGCTTTGTTGAAAGGGTATTGTGAGAAGACAGGATAAGAAACCTTTAAGGTTGAAGGTCAAATTCAGGCAACCTCTTCTAATGACTTTTTTTTAAACTCTTTTTCTCCTTGAGACCCAATCATTGTTTATTTAACATTTTTTGATCATGTTAATTATCCAAGCTAACTAATAAAATGCAATATTCAATAACTAAAATACAAAATGAAATGAACTGGCCCTACATTGTCTTTTGTTTTAATCACGGAAATCTGAACAGAAGGAGCCTCTAATATGCCTGATGATATTTTTATGAATATTTACAGGTAAGGATTTCTAGACACTTTTTATACTTTGTTCTCAAATGCAATCATAAGTAACCTAAATATCCAAATACCTTTGGGGTCCACTGTACATGTTATATGTGACCCTGGACCACAAAACCAGTCATAAGGGTCCATTTTTCGAAATTGAGATTTATACATCATCTGAAAGCTGAATAAATAAGCTTTCCGTTGATGTATGGTTTGTTAGAATAGGACAATATTTGGCCGAGATCCAACTGTTTGAAAATCTGGAATCTTAGGGTGCAAACAAATCTAAATATTGAGAAAATCGTCTTTAAAGTTGTCCAAATGAAGTTCTTAGCAATGCATATTACTAATCAAAAATTAAGTTTTAATATGTTTACAGTAGGAAATTTACAAAATATCTTCATGGAACATGATCTTTACTTAATATCCTAATGATTTTTGGCATAAAAGAAAAATCAATAATTTTGACCCATACAATGTATTTTTGGCTATTGCTACAAATATACCCCAGCGACTTAAGACTGGTTTTGTGGTCCAGGGTCACATATAAGCATTACTGTAATCAGATCTCTGAGAGCTAACGAGTCTTTGTATATATTAGAACAAAAGAACAATGAGCCGGATGGGAGGGGGAGAATGGACTGAAAGAAATGACCCACAGTCAAACTCCTGTTTTGGAGTTTAGCCCAGTTGCATATACACGGCACATTATCAGTACAAGCCAACCTTTCCTCATATTTAGAGAAGCTTTTGGCCATTTGGATTTGCACATAGAACTCTAGATTTACATAATCTGTGTTTTTCAAGTTCTTTCATACAGTTATTCCCATAAAGAGGATTTGAAGCACAAAAGTGTGTTAATATTCTGAATATTCTGAATTTCCTCTCTGGAAATTGACTGTCTCTGCCTGCTCCAAAATTTATGTTTAACTTTTACTTCTGCCGATATTGTAACCTTGTAGATTGTAATCTTCCATTTTTGAAGATTATCATGATGTTCAAAAGAATCATAAACTTTGGTCACAGACTTTATTTTCTGCAATACTGCAAAAGCCAATAAATTCTACTTTTTTTTTTTTTGAGGGAAACAGGGTGATGTAAACTTCCAGATTGACTTACAAAAAATATTATCACTGCAGCTTTTATTCCGCATTTTATGAGGCTCCAGTGGCTATGACATATTTCGCACAGTCTTATATTCTATAGTTAAACAATTGTTTTAATTAAAAGTTATACACAAAATGACTTTAAAATCATACAGCCATATTATTTCTGCAAGCACAGAATGTTTTAGTTAAATTTATCTTTTTTATTTATATATTTATCATCAAACAAACAATATAAATATTGAATGAATTAATTAATTAAAGAAATAATGCATATTGCATATGCAATAACTTGTTTATAACTTGGCAACATAACTGCTAACTGGGAGTAAATAATGTTCTTTGTGGTTTATATGATGGTTAGTTAACCCCTCTGAGGTCACATATTTGTGCCAGACAAATAAGAATTAGAAAAATGTTGAAAAGACAGCCTGTGTTTAGCTTGCCTTTTATTATATTATTATTGCTGCTGCTGCTGTTGTTGTTTACAGTAATTTTCATGAAATACCTTCACTTTTTGTCAGCATGGGTTATATTCGGGTCAGTGTTCAAATGTAATGTCATTTGACAAAAAATGCAATAATAATGATGTTAGAAATCTAAACTACAATGAGGAAGGCTTCAAAAAAAGATCTCAGTTAGGATAGGACAATTATAACAGCAATTTTTAACTTCAGAGTCGACATTGTGTATTTGTTTCACCGCATCTCTGCTGGTAACCACTTAAAAGTATTAGCACTGAGTAAAATAACAGCTAACCTCTTAATAACATTATTTGAAGAATCATTCATGTTTGGAGAATAAACGCTGTGAGTTACACACGCTCAAGTTTAATACTGTTAGAGGTCTATTCAGCGAGAAACAGTAGTGATGCTTGATTTGACTTGTATCAGACTGAACACAATGCAAATAATACAACATTCATTATTAAAAAGCAAGATTCTTACTCGTTGGCAGGGAGACAGTGTGTTGAGTCTGTTGTTTTTCATCCACTTTTGATATTATATCTAGGTGATGCCACGTTCCAGGATCTAAATTCTCAGTTTTGCACTCAAAATGTGTCAAATGTTCCTGGTCTTGATGACAGTCTTTTGAGTCATTGTGTCTGTCCCTGACAGAAACTGTGTATTGGCATTTCACATCTTCATTATTCAGCGTAATGTGTATTGAGTCTGTGGTAGAAATGGCCTTCACGACTTTAATGTTACATTTCTGTGTGTCTACCACCACGGTACTCTACAAAAAAAAAAGTGAGAAACATCTTTACTGGACTGATAAAACAGCTTACAGAAGTCTACATACAGAAAAGTATTTTTGTAAGTTGAAATCAAGTTTTTACAAGTATAATTATTATTATTATTTTTTAAATATGTTTATTAAAACTTACCAATATTCCACATGCTACCCAAACAGCTACATGAATGGCTTTTCTTCTCGGCATTGTTATTTTTTTCTTCTCTTTTTTAGATGTTTTTAGTCAATACACAGAAATCCAGTTGAAAAAGGCACATCGTTCCTTAGTATATATTCCAGAGAGTTCTTTCAAAGTACTTTTCTGAAAATCTAGTCTGGAGGACCTCTGTGGGAACTGCTCACTTTCACTCATTAGCCCACCACAATCAGGAAAGTGTGAAGGAAAACAATCCCGTCTCTAAAGGATATCCTCAATCAAACGTCTAGTGAAGCATTGTTTTTGGTAGTCCAGTGGAGACACGTTGCACAGTCTCTCTAAAATACTCAAACTCTACTAGACTAGCACAAAAATGAGGCAAAAATTGGTTTCTTCAACATGCATGCTCCATCGAAAGCTTTAAGGTCATAAATGCCGGTGAATTGGAACGTTTGCTGAAACAATAGATGTCAATGACTTTCTGCTCCATGAACATTCAATACAGCCCAACCCCACTTCCTTCCTGTGTTCTCAGCGCTCCTGCAGAACGATGTGTTGAACAGAGAAATCTCGTACTAGTAATTGGCTTGCAAATGTTCTTGCATCACAAAAATTCCATAAAACAAAATTATTTCATTTTTAAGATCATTTGTATATCATAGATGTTTGAATGTAAAAGTCATGGGTCTAACATCAAGAACAATGCAGCAATGGCAGACATATAAAAGTTAGTCCAGTGTATACATTTATGACAGAGTGTTTGAAGGTTCAGTGCAGAGCTGTATATGAATTTACATCATGTGTCTGCCTGGATCCACAAAGAAACTCCAAAGAGGAGAAAAGAGGCGCCAATAAACTAGTAGGATCTAATTTGTAGCAACCTTTATGTGTGCTTAAATATTTGTGTTGTGTTTTTTCCTTGTTTTTGTTATTCATTTATCTAAAATACATCTATCATTTAATTAGTTTCATCATACTGTCTAACTGACTATTCTATGTTGTTTTGCTGCTCAGGAAAAATTTCTTATTGTTATCAATGTTGAAAACAGTTGTGCCATGATATACTACTGTTCAAATATTTGGTGTGTGTGTGTGTGTGTTTAATAGAATTTGAATTAAAATGATAAAATAAATCAATAAGCCCCAAGAAGCTGTGGTTTACAGTGAATTTATAACAGCTAAGGGGCGTTGTTAGGCACGACGCAAAGCGGACCCCCTTAGCTGTTATAAATTCACTGTAAACCACGGCTTCACGGGGATTATTGATTTATTTTATCATTTTAATTCAAATTCTATTAAACACACACACACACACCAAATATTTGAACAGTAGTATATCATGGCACAACTGTTTTCAACATTGATAACAATAAGACACTTTTTGTTATGAAAAAAATTCATAACGGTTATTCCATATACGTAGTAAGGTTTCACCGAATAAAACAGAGCAAATAAAGTGTAATGATATAAATAAAAACCGTATTCTTCCACCAAACAATGTAGTTCCTCAGAAACAGTTGTGGTTTCAACAAAGTGGTTGCCGAGCAACACACAGAAGTAAACAAAGGTGTATGTTTGTAGAGTAATTTACAACAGCTTTGAACGCGGCTCAACCAATCAGAATCAAGGACCGGAACTATCCGTTTTATAATGTGAAAGTAAAATTATTTATAAAGTTACAAAATATTCTATTTTTTTCGTTCTATTCATCAAAGAATCCTGAAAAAATGTTTCCACAAAATATTAAGCACCAAAACTGTTTTAGTATTGATAATAATAAGAACCATCATTAATAGCACCAATAATAATTGAGCAGCAAATATAATAATTAAACAGTAATGAATAATAAAGAACTGTAATGAATAATAAATTAAAAATGTAAAAAGGTTAAATAAAATGTTAAATAAGTTTTTGAAAACAATAAATAAAATGTTAAAAAGTTAAATAATGTTTAAAAACATGAAATGAGTGAAATAATATTCAACACAAGTATTACATATGTTGAACTCTATTTAAACAACTTTTTACACTATAAAAAATATACATTAAAATATATAATTTTTTTGGAAATGGTTCTCTGCATTTCCTTTAACCACACCTCTTTTGTAACAGTCTCAGTCTGTGGGCAGTAGACCCTGCCTCTGTACTGGCTGTGTCCCGTTGCAGTTGTTTTGAACTGCCCGCACTTCTTGCAAGTGAATGCCTCTGCAGTTTTCCTGTATGGTCTCTTGGGCATGGCTTCAGGATTAGCAGATTGTGCATCAGGCTGTGAGCTGGTGACTACACAACTGCAGGCTCTAACAGTGCTGTATTATTGGCATTCCCTGGACAATTTGCACTCTCTGGAACATTGGCATACCCTGAAACACTGGCAGATCCTGAAATGTTGTTACACAAACATTGTACACATTAAACATCGGCACATTCTTGAAACCTTTTGCTGCTGGTATAAGTGTTGGGTACTATCTGCACTGATGCTTCAGGCGCTGATAGTGCAACCAACATCTGACACTACACTGGTGCCTTTGGTCTGAGAGGGGGTCGCCCAACAGAATATTGCCTCTGCTTTGCCTGACCTGCTGTGCTCTCTGGTAGCTTGTACTGGTGCTGATCCGCTGGCTGTTCTGGTCAGTCCGTAGACGCTTGGCAACATGGAAAGGCACCTAGGCTTCAGGGAGTGTCTGAGGCAACTGAATGCCTTGAAGCAGCACAGACAGTTCCTGCTTTTTCTGTCTGCTGGAACCTTTTCACCAGACCATCTATGATCACATCCAGTCCTGCTCCTTTCTGGACTGTCAGCACACTTTTTGGATCACTTGTCACTTAATGTGCTGTTATGAGTATATCAGATGACCACTTCTTGCCTCACTTATGGCGCTTTTCCACTGCATGGTACGGCACGGTACGGCTCGGTACGGTTCACTTTTGGGGGGTTTTCCACTGGGTACAGTACCTGGTACCTGGTACTTTTTTTAGTACCACCTCGGTTGGGGTTCCAAGCAAACCGTACCGTTACCAAAACGTGACGTGTAAACTCTGCTGATCACGTATTGGCCGGAGAGAATCGTCACTACCTGCGTCGCTGAACTTGCGACACAAACACAAAAGAGCCGCTAGATTTAAATCAGCACAGCCAGCGAAGGATAGAACGCAACTGTTTTGAACGAGCGCACCTTTTTTTAACAACCAAAAAGTGGCTGTTCCCCCTGTTGAGGAAGCAAAGACGTTTTTCTCGTTGATAGCAGAGGAGCGGATCCAGCGAGAGCTTGATGGGGCGACGCGGAATGAAAAAGTTTTTTTAGGAGTCGCGGCAGTAGAGGCGGCGCAACTATAACGACATGTGAATAATCCCGCCCACTCTAAAGCGGTACTGAACTGCAGTGGAAACGCAAACCGAGCCGTGCCGTACTGAGCCGTACCGAGCCGAGTCGTACCACGCAGTGGAAAAGCGCCATTAGTTCTGGGCACCAGTCAAGGACTTTACCTTGGCTATATGAGAACACTTCCGAAAGGGGGCTGGTTCAAGATTTTAGTCACTCAATCAAAACTAACTTTCGGACGTGCATGACAGATACTTGAAATGAGCCAAAATACCAGCGTGTATGATCCTGTGATTCTGGTCTTGCATACTCATTCAGCGCTCCAGTTCCTCGAACAGTACACTGAACTGAGGAAACAGAGAGAGAGATGAGCCGGTGATATTCGTATGTTGAAACAAGTACTTGAATGAAAGGGCAAAATTTACTTTTTTATGGTTTCTCATTGTTTATGTAAAAGGTGAGCTGATGAAGACGTTTATTCACTTTGTATGCTTTAGACATGTAAAACATCCCCGTTTCACATCATTATTGGGTGCTTTGATAATATGATTGAGTATATGTTACGTTATTGTGTGATATACGTCCCCCCCGGGGCAGACGTGTTTGCTCGCTCCGCTCTCGAATGCCAGTTTTTCTTTATTTTCTTTTGTTTTCTGTTTTATCTGCCATGCTCAAATGTGGTGCACTGCTAACGTACAACAGACAGGCATTACTGGACATCGCCAATTCAGCCAACCATCTTGAATTTACCTGTTTTATACCTCCGGAGCTACAACACATTAGTCGCTCCCATAGTCACCTCCACCACCCCCAGGAAGGCCCCGAAGCACCAAGCTCGAGCGAGGTAGCTGACCTGAGGAGAGCGCTCCAGAGACAGCGACGCAAGAGGGGAGGGCTTCATGCTAAGCTAAAAGCTTGCACTAGCCGACCACCGCTACCCAGCCTGTTGTTAGCTAACGTACGATCTCTGGAAAACAAACTGTCGCTACCGAGAGCAAGGGTTACATCACAGCGGGAAATAAGAGAATGCTGCGCTCTGATTTTCACCGAGACCTGGCTCTCAGAGAAAGTCCCGGAATCTTCTGTTCAGCTACAAACTCACTCCATACATCGAGGAGACCGGACCGCAGCCTCCGGTAAGGCTAAAGGGGGAGGTGTGTGTGTGTTTATTAACAACTCGTGGTGCGGAGACATACAGACTGTTTTTAAGCACTGCTCGCCAGACGTGGAGTTTTTATACAGCAACATATGCGATGCATCCAGGGCTGCACACCGCCCCCACTTTGGATACTCAGACCACATCTCTTTGTTCATGTACCCGGCCTACAGACAAAGACTCAAACAAACAAACCCTGTCACCAAACAGGTTAAGCTTTGGACCCTACAATCTGAGGGCATCCTGCAGGACTGCTTTGCTCTGACTGACTGGGATGTGTTTAAAGCTGCAGCCACTTTGGAGGACTCTTCTGTCAGCATACAGGATTATGCTGAGTATGTGACTGGGTACATTAGCACTTGTGTTGATAACATTGTACCCACCATACAAGTCAGGAATTTCCCCAACCAGAAGCCCTGGATAAACAGTCAGGTACGCCACATGCTACGTGCTCGATCTCTTGCATTTACATCAGGCAACGAGACAGAGTACAGAGCTGCTAAGTACAGACTGAGAAAAGCAATTACAGTGGCCAAGAGACAGTACAGAGAGAAGCTGGACAGTTTCTACTCTATTGCTGACGCCGGGCGGATGTGGCAAGGCATGCAGCACATCACAAACTACAGGACCACCACGAGCACCACTATCAGCTCCTCAGACAGCCTGCCGGATGACCTCAACACCTTCTTCGCCCGCTTCGAGACCTCCAGCATCGACACAGAGAGGAGGCACACACACACTCTGATCACTCAACCCCCCTCCCCCCCTCCTACTGTCTCATCAGCTGCGGTACACAAAGCGCTGAGGAAAATCAACCCCCGCAAAGCAGCAGGGCCAGACAACATCCCTGGACGGGCCCTCAGAGCTTGTGCTACGGAGCTGACTGATGTACTTACTTCCATCTTCAACCTCTCCCTCAGTCAGAGCACCGTCCCAACCTGCTTCAAAACCACAACCATCATCCCCCTTCCCAA